CTTAAAAAATATGAAAAACTATAGAATGTAAGTGAAGAAAAAGTTGAAGCTGTCAGTGGCTTAATCTTACTTAGACCCATAATTAATACCCTTGGTATCAAAAGTCAGGAGATTAGGAGCTCTGGTGGCATAGTGGCAGGAAGTTGCAATGCAATCCCAGAGGTATTTGGTTCAAATCCACCAGATGTTCTGCTGGAGCAGGAGGGGCAATCTCCTCCTGTACCAGTCAGATCTGATTTCATAGTACACAGACACACACACACACACACACACACACACAAATAATAAACTAAAAAAAAGTCAGGAGATTAGAAGACAGATTGCTTTGGACACGTTCTCTGTCAGGGACTTCTCCAAAATACTGAAGAGCAGTGATGTCGGTTTGAAGACTAAGACATGCCTAATTCAAGCCATAGTCTTTCTAATAACTTGATATGCATCTCAGAGCATGATAATGAATTGGGATGACAGAGGAAGAATTGATGCCTTTGAGTTATGGTGTTGGAGAAGAGTACTGAATTTCCCATGGACTGCCACAAGAATGAACAGACATATCTTGGAGTAAGTGCAGTCAGGGAGCTTCTTGGAGACAAAGATAACAAAGTTTTGCCTCACATACTCTGAGCATGTTTCTAGAATATTCCTTAGAAGGAATATCATGCTTTGAAAGATAGAGGTTCAGCAAAAGAGAGGAAGGCCCCAAATAAGATGGATGGATATGGTGACTGCAGAAATGGGCTCAAGTGTATCAGAGATGATGAGGATGGCATAGGATAGGACAGGATTAAGGTCTGTTGTTCATAGGGTCGTTAGGAGGCACTCAACAACAATCTCATATTCTGACTTACTGTAGTTTAGTGGTAAAAATTGTGTTGCCAATGCAAAGGTGCATAGTTTGAATCCACCAGTTGCTCTGCAGAAGAAAGATGAACAATCTTTTCTCATGCAGTTTACTGCTTCTGAAAACTCACCTGAGGGTCAGCTATGAAAGATGGGAACAAGAAAAATGAACTATCTCCTTTGGTCAAATTGCTGCCTCTGAAAATTGTAGCTCAGCAAATGTTTCTGCTTGAAATGTAAGAAAGGAGTCCCATGCAGAGGTACAATTCTTGTCTTAGCACTGAGAATCTTCTTTTCCACAGAGAAGGCCCAGGGACTTTGAACTGTTAAGGAACTGACCAAGACATATGACCCGTAATTGTTCAATTTTGGCAACTTTGTAGGGCTAAAATTTCAGAGAATTCATAAAGCAAAAATGAAATTATAGGGAAAGGAATAGGTGAGTGAGAATAAGAAATAACCTCCTATTTTCATCGTCATGCGTTTTATGTTTTACCACAGTTCTCCATCTTCTGAAATTGTTCATTCAATATCTAATATTGTTCATCTAATTGTAACTCTGAGAGCCATTGTAAAAGCTGTTATTTGTTAGGCTCAGAGTTGAGAAAGTCAAGCATAAAACGAGGCTAGATATAAAGGATGTTAAAGCAGAAAACAATGATATAAGGAAGGCTTGAAAAGTCATGTTAAGAGCCAGAAGAAAGCCAAAGTCATGTCACATCAACAAATGTCATGTCAAAAGTAAAATAAAATGCCTAAAATCAGATCCTACCCAATCAAAAACAGGGAGCCCAATCAAAAACATTGGACCTAAGAGCCTCAATCCTGACATGTATAGTGTTTTCTGTGTGTGAATGATGTCAAGAACAAGGGACCAACTGGAACTGCCTGCTCAAGTTTGAACTCTCCATGACATCATCTCACTGGCTTAGACTCAAGCCTGGAAACATACCGAAATGCTGAAACGAGTCAGCTCTGTTAATGAAATGTCAGCTATGTGTGGCCCAATGTCTTTTCTCCATTTTACTTTTGGAGAAATGACCCATCTCACTCTCTGGAATGTGATGTATCTTTTCTAATAAAACTATCTTTCACTTTTATTCCTGTCTCCTCACCTTTCCTCCAAACAGCATGCTCTAAAAAAAGCTCAGCCCACACCAGGATTATTTTTGAGCAGCCCATAACCAGGCCTAAATGATGGGATTTGATCACAGCCAATAATTCTGTTACTTTCCACTCAGTTTAATTCTTTGTCCTGGCAAAGGAGACCGAACTAGGTCATCAGCCAGCACTATTGAGTCAATGCATGACTCAGTCAATTCAAGAAAGTTATTGTTCCTCGAAAAAATGGATGACAATAATTGGTAATTGTCAATTGGTGTCAGTTAATACTTTTTTTCAGAGAACATATTGTAGGAGGTATGGAGGAGAAGTGAAATGCTTTTCTCAAATAGAGAAGGTGGCAGATTTGGAAGTAATGGATACTTATGATCATGAAGGATGTTATCTAGGCTCTTCCTGTTTTCCTATTGTTCTTTTCTCAGCTCCTCAAAGTTAATATGTCTAAATCCTTCTGTTTGGCATTCTTTGTTCTTCATAATATGGCTTTAGGTAGTACAAAAAGTTAATTTGTGGCTGGATATGAACCAAAGTGTTGGAAGTTTTGAGGACATGTAGAAACACCTCAAAAGACTTGGTGATTTACTTTTGAAAAGTCAGCCATTGAAAAATCTGTGGAGTACAATTCACATGGAGCCTCCAGAAATAGGGAGGTAGCAACTGTCTGTTTTTGTGTGGTTTTTAAAAAAAATACCTGTATTATTAGCTTTCTATGATTTCCATCATGAACATAGACATAAACTCATTCAAAGAAGATGTGTTTAACCTGAGGTTTGAATTGTAGGAAAGAGAGGGGAGCAAACATATGCTTAGTCTTTTATGTGTTTTTTAGCTCTTTACATTACTTGTCTAATTTAATAGTCCTTATAATAATGAGATATAAATGATACTCATTTTATAAAATAAGACCATAGATATCATAAGGTTAAGTATCTTTTTTAAATTACATAGTAGAAGATGAAATAGAGTCTGTGGGATAAAAGAGACACCTGAGCAAAGGTGTGTAGACATTAAAGAGTAAAAGAGTCAGGTGATCACAATGACCAGAGCTTATGCTGGGAAACAAAGAATATGGGTTTATAGGGTTCCAATTATGAGGAGTGTGAATACCCACAGAAGAATTTAAAGATATTGACTCAAAGGATCAGAGAGAGGATTGAAGGGAATGGCAGTGAAGAAGGGAAGTCTGTCATCTTTCTATATCATTTTACTTTGCTATTACCATTCCATATTACTTTGTAAGTAACAAATTTGAGATATAAAGCTCAATAAACATATTTAAGCTCCTATTGTATTATGTGTGTTGAACTACTCTTGATTTCTGTCATATAAAAGATCACTATGTCATATTTGTAGTTGAGCAAAGTTGAAATTGAGTTTATTGGCCTGTTGCAATGAGGGAAAACATATGCCATTATAAACTATGGTACTTTCAGAGTGTTAGAAAGTAATTATCGCAAGATTTGGGTTTATGTTAAGTGATTTTTTGAGAGTTTGGGGAAGAAAGTTTTTCTCAGAAAGTAGAAGAAAATGAAATGATTTGGGATTTTAATTTTATCTATAAGGCTCTGACAATATTAAACTGTACTTGATAAAGAAAAAGTAATCACTCATGTTAGACTCCTTGCCAAATTACTGAAGAGAAGTGATGTTAGTTTGAGGACTAAGGTGCATTTGAATTAGATCATAGTCTTTTAGTCACTTGTTATGCTGCTGAGAGCTGGACAATGACAAAGAATGACAGAAGAAAAATTGATGCCTTCGAATTGCAGTGTTGGAAAGGAGTACTGAACATCCATCCCATGGTCAAAAAAGGACAAACAGACATGTTGTGGGAAGGTGCAGCCAATGTGCTCCTCGGAGTCAAGGACAGCAAAGCTTCATATCTCATACTTTGGGCATGTTGCTAAGAGAGGCTATTCCTTGGAGAAGGATATCTTTCCTGGAAAGATGGGGGACAGCACAGGAGAGGAAGACCCTCAACTAAGTGGACTGACACAATGATTTGCAGCAATGAGCTCATGAGGCTGTGAAATTGGCATAGGATAGGGTTCAAATCTATAGTTATTGGTAAGAGCCGTATTCAACTTGACAGAACCTAACAACAAAAATAACATATTAGGCAGAAAAGGGGGATTTTGGTCATTTTTTTGTACTTTGGATAATGCTCTTGTTTTTTTATTCTGTTTAGGTATGATTATGGAGTGGTCTTGATTTTTGTCTTGATCTGTCCTGCTCACAGAATGATCAGTCTGAGAGTGGTGTTCTGTGAAATTGTTTGTATTGAGCAGAGAACACTCCACCAGTCTAGCTGTGAGCAGCAGGCCAGTCCTGGCAATACCAGCACTGATAGTGTTGGGCCAGTTCTCAGTTGTAAAGACTGATTTCTCCTCACTGTGTGCTGGGGATCCAGAAATGAAGAAAGGAAGTTCCTATTTTCAAGGAAATCTTTAAAAAAATGCATGCAAGTAAATAAATACTATGATGCGATAAATATGACAGTTAAGTGAATTTCAACAATTTCATATATAGTATGTTTTACTTAAAACTTGAAACAAAGGGACTATGTTGTTTATTGTTTACTGTAGCGTCAGAGTTGACCCAGAGCTGACCCTCTCTCTTGTGGGTTTTCGGAGGCAGTAATTTCTTCTGATTATACTTCCCAAACCAGCCCCCCAGTCTTTTATTAGAAGGAAAGGGTGATAAGATAATCCTGTTAGACTAGGTATAAGAGAGAAACGGCCCTTGGCTGGTTTCTCACTTCACCTTATTATACAATAAAGGCTGTTATATTAGACTTGTTCTAAAACTGATGGTGTATCAAAAGCTGACTTCCCTCAGCTAGCAAATGCATTTTATTCTTCCAAAAAGGACAGACATTAAACGATTCACTCATTGTTGAAGATCAAGGAAATGTTGGGCTCAGAAGATAGAATATCTGATCTCTCACTCTTTAGAATGAGTTCTGGAAGAACATGATAAAAATGGATAGGCTTCACCTTTGTTTTCACTGCAACTTGGATATATGGCACATCTTTGATTCATGAATTTTTGCTCATTCTTATTCTACACAGGACATTCCTCAGGGCAAATTTCATATCCTTATTGCGAAGACTGTAGATCAGTGGATTAAAGAGAGGTGTCATTACTGAGTAGACTAGAGTGAGGATCTTCTGCATCAAAGTTGGGATGCCGTATGTGGGACTCACGTACATTACCATGACTGTTCCGTAGAACAGACACACCACTACCAAATGAGACCCACATGTGGAGAAGGCTTTACGTCGGCCAGCGGCAGAGGGGACTCGAAAAACAGTTCTGAGCAGCAGAGTATAGGATCGAAGAATATACATAACAGTGAAAAAGAGGACAAGAGAGCTCTCAGTATAGAAAATAAATTCAGTAATCGGGGCTGGGGCACAAGACAGAGCCATGAGTGGGTCCATGTCACACAGGAAGTGATCGATGACATTGGAACCACAGAAAGGAAGTTGGGAGATAAAGAAAATTGGGATTGGGTAGCCAAGAAATCCAGTGAGCCAGCAGAGGGACACTAGCATGCTACAGAGCCGCCCAGTCATGATGGTGGGGTAGTGTAGTGGGCGGCAGATGGCCAGGTATCTATCATAAGCCATTACTGCCAGGAAGAGACATTCAGTAGTGCCCAGGGAAAAAAAGAAATAGAACTGCAGGAAACAACGAGAAAATGAAATGGCCTTGGTCTTGGAAAGAATGTTGGTTAGCATATTGGGAACAGTAGAGGAAACATACCAGATCTCAAGGAAGGCAAAGTTACCCAGCAGGAAGTACATGGGAGTATGGAGCCGTGGGTCCCATCTCACTGCACAGATGATGGCTCCATTCCCAACCAGGGTCAGGATATAAACGACCAGAAGAAAAGAGAAGAGAAAAAGCTGTATCTCCCAGCAACCAGGGAACCCGAGGAGGACAAACTCAGTCACAACTTGTGTTGCTGACCTATTCATGGGTGTAATACCTATGAAGAGGGAAAAAATGAGTATAATAACTCAAGGTTCTATTCTTCTCATATATCTCATAGGCTTTATTGAAAAGGGAGCTTGAACTCTGTAGGACAATGTGTGATGTATTCTGAGATCAATTAGGAATAAATTCGACCTCCTTTTGGATTGCAATTCTAAATATTGGTGTTATTTATATCTGTATTACTTTTTTCAGATCCAATGCACCTAAAGTTTTCCACACTCATGGTTTAACCAGATTCATTGTTTTCTTTTGATGCATAAGACCTTTTCTGCTTTTCAGTTATTTCCCAGAGTAGTTAGATTTTTATGCACAAACTCATTCACTTTCTCTTATCTAGCTTACCTTGTTAAAAACCCAAAATCAAACCACAAACAGAAACTTATTTTGAGGACAGCTGGTGTGAGGTTGAATTAATCCTTAGCAACAGAATTAGTTGATGTTTGAAGATAAAGCTCGTGCCAAGACACAGGACTTTCAGAACAGTCTTGTTTAATTGTCACAGACATCATGTGTACAAGACTTGGTGTTGTTCTTCCCGTTTTTCCTTAATGATTTTCTTTGTATATCTTGCTCTTCCCAGCTGAGCAATACCTGAAAACAAAACAAAACCAAATCAAACCCTAGCTAAACAAAGATCTTTAAAATAAGAACAAGTGAGAATATTCTTTTTCAAATCTCTAACATTTGCAAATGCTCAATTTCAGGCTTTACAAGCTACACATTATACAGAAAGGATGTATCCCGTTTTACATATTTGGATGCAATCTATTTTGAATTAAAGAACAATATATGTTTTAAAAAAATTATCTATTTTTCTTTTCTTGTTGTGTACCGTCAAATCGGATCCAACTGGCATAGGAGGAGAATGCTTCTCCAGCACAGCATCTGGTGGATTTGAACCACGTGCCTTCACGATTGCAGTACAGCTTCTTTGCCACGAGGCCACCAGAGCTCCCTCAAGGAAAACACATTTTCAATGCAAAAGGTTAGTTATTTAGTGAGTCTTTTTATATGATTAAAACAAGGGCATTTTCTGAAGGGATTGGAGAACAATGGGGCACCAAATTTTATTTGGTAAGATTATTTTTATTCTCTAAAGGAGGATATTTTCAAGTATTTCTTTTTTTTTAAAATTATTTTTATTGTATTATTTTTACATGTACCATCAAATCAGATCTGACTGGTACAGGAGGAGATTGTTCCCTCCTTCTCCAGCAGAGCATCTGGTGGATTTGAACTGCGTACGTCTGGGATTGCAGTACCAAGTATTTCAACTGGTATGCACTTTTGGACTGATAAGGCACTCTTGTGGTCTAGTGGCAAGAAGCTGCACTGCAATCCTTGACTTAAGGTTCAAGGCCACCAACTGCTCTGGGGAGAAGGATGGACAGTCTCCCCCCCTGTGATTACTGAAAACACAACAGAGGATCAGGTATGGGTCAGTTCTGACTCTATGGTATGCAACAACAACATTTACTTTTTAATAGCAACACATTTTTATATTTTAAGATTTGAGCAAATAAAATGCATAAATACATGTCTCTAAACAATAGATTAATCTTGTACTTGATTAATGTTTACAAAATTCTCAAGCAGAATTTTCCAAAACTAAAATGATAGTTTTACTATTGAGTTTTCTTGCTAAATCTCTTATTACCTCGTTTGGTTGTCATCAATTATAATTTTGTTCAGTGTAAAAGAAAAAAATTGGAAGGAAAAGAAGAAAAAAGAATTTGAAGGGAGAATGATTATTTATGATCCTTTGGAACTATGATCTGGATTCCGACATTATTAATTCCTTTTTGGGGGGTTGTTTAAGGAATCACAAAAAAAAAATAAAGAAATTATAAAGTTGTTCATTTCCCAACCAATGAGAAATAGATATTTATTTATCGTCTTCTCTGAAAAAAGGTTATTTATGAAGTAGAAACCACTTTCCTTGCTATTACAGCTTGGGAACCAAGCGCAGGTTCACAAATTTAAAGCAGGAACAGAATACTGGATCTGAGGCTCCCGCTTTTTGTTCTGAGAACCATACCTGCTTACTGTGATAGTTCAGTGAGACACTGGCAAATCCATCTCCCCCTGTAGCTTTTGGTAAAAGTATTGATAAGTGGGGGGTGGGAGGAACAAAATAAAGCAGCCCAAATAATCAATTTTCATTGTCAAACTTGACAAAATGAAATGACTCCACAGAGTTCTTCATATACTCCATCCTTTCAGTCCTCCAAGATTATGATCTGGAAACAGGCTTTTAGAATGAAAGAGTCACCATTTTATGCCATGAACATACTGTTTTTCATTCTTTGGGGATTCATAGGTTACTGTAGTGAGTGACAGACTAGAGGACAAGCTCATTTCTATTATAAAAAAACCAACCAATAATTCAGTCCATCCGTCTCAACAGTGCTTGCTTCCTTAGTCTCCCAAATGCCCCTCACGTGGCATACTGTGATTTCCTCCGACACCCTGAGAGTGGAATCATACCTCCTGATTACTCCTAGAAAATAAGCTAATTGTCAGAAAAATGTTCCTTAATAATGATAAAATAAAATTGGATAAAACGGTAGGATGATCTATGCTATTCATTTTGCAGATGGAGTTCAGAGAGGAGATGTGACTTTTTTAGGCCATGCATGAATAGAAGTGTCCTGTATTCATTTACTGGACTCTTACACTGTACTATTTACGCTACCACTTTAGAGTGTCTTCAGAGGAACAATGATAAAGAGATTTATATAGTAAAAGGCACTCTATAGTATATAACAAAGATTATATACTAAAGGTACATAAGTGATTTGCCCTTGGCTATTAACCTAACTGTTGGCAGTTTGAAGCTACCCAGTTGAACAAAGGTAGAAAATCCTGGTGATTTGCAAAACCAGAGTCAAGAAAATCTTTGGAAGGTTCTGCTCTGTAATACATAGAGTCGATAGGAGTTGTAGTTGACTTAATGGTGGTGATTTCTTTTTTGTAGTGGAACATAGAAATACAGAAATAATTCCTTTTCCCTTACATGTAACGATGATTGTCCTAGCCCAGCTTGAAGAGAAGGACAGAAGGACAGGCACAGAAGAGTTGAATAGAACCCAAGCGTCAAGCAACTCTTGTTGCATCTAATGAGGAAAACCCCAGCTGAGGGTATTAGATGTTACTGCACCTCCTTCGTTTCTGGAGCCTCCAGGGTCTTGTTTTCCAGGAAGTTGCTGAAATGCTTTCAGGTGTAGCAGTTTTAAATCTGTGCTTCCGCTGAGGGATTATTGTAGAACTCTGTCTCGCTCCAGGAGGTCTTTGGCTCCCTCAAGTTCCCTCTGGAGTGCCTGCTCTCTCGAACCCTGGAGACTCATGTAAGTTTTAAAATGAGCTCCCATGGTGAGTTAAGGAAACAAGGAAACCTGGGGAAATACCAGATATATTTCAGGAGACTTTCTACTGCATAAGGAGCATGGGTGGAATATTGATTAAGCACGTAATTGCTCTGTTCTACAGGGTCACACTATTAATTGGAATAGACTCTACAACATGCAATAGCCCTTCCTCACAGGGTTTCATGGCCGTGATCTTTTAAGGGGCAGATAAAATTTTTTTTAACCTTCTCTGTGAGAAGAAACACTTTAAAACAATATGTGTCTAGCAATAAAACTCAAATGCACTACTGTTCAGTTGATTTTGACTCATTGTGACCCTTTAAGACAGATTAAATTGCCCCTTTAGGGTTTCCAAGTCTTTAAATCTTTACAAAAGCAGATTGCTTGGATTTTCACCCAGGGATTCAAAGACCTTCATGTTATACACACCCATGTTTATTGCGGCTTTGTTCACAAAGAGCTGGAAACAACCCAAGTACCTCAACAAATGAATGGATAGAGAAGCTCTGGTATATTCACACAATGGAATACTATGCAGCATTGAAAAACAAGAAACTCATGAAATACTATGCAAAATGGATGACCTGGGAGGACATTATGCTGAGTGAAATATCTCAGTCACAAAAGGACAAATATTGCAAAGGGCCACTGTTGTAAAACGGGACTGACATCAGGGTTGAGGGAAGACAGAAAAAGGAGGGGAGGAATGATATATATTGCATTGAAACAGATGAGGGAGAGAACTGTTTAAAAGGGATATATGAATGGGTATTCTTGTCATTACAGAATTCCAGAGTGAAGGCTGCATAGTGGAGTAGACTTGGGGGGAGGGATTGCATAACAACAAAAGAGTTTTTCTTTCTTTTCAAGGAGAAGAGCGAATTGAGGGTGGAGGGGGTTGGTAGGGAGAAAAGTGCAACAGTGACTGGAAACCCTAAGTTTCTGTAAGCTTTCATTAAAATGAATTAAAAATAAAAATACCTTTATGTTAGCAGCTCATGGTTAGTCTTCTGCACCGCAGGGACTTCATCTGACTATGTTGTTGTTATTGTTGTGCCATTGAATCACCTGAGACTCATAGTGACCCGATACTCAATAATATCTCTGAATCCTGCCCTATCCTGGCCAACCACACAGATTCTGACATATCTACCTCCATTACCCCAGTTGCTGTGTCAATCCATTTTGTCCAGGGACTTCCTTTCCTATGCTTTTCTTAACCCTTCCAAGCATGATGCTGTTCTCCAGCGACTGGCCTTTCCTGGCCTTATGCCCCCAATTTTGTGAGACAGAGCTTCAAAATTCTTTCCTTCAAGGAACAACTTGGTTTCACCCTCTCCTAGGCAGATCTGTTTTGTTTTCTTGGTGGTCTATGGTGTGTTCAACACTCTTCTCCAGCATCATAACTCAAAAACATCAGTTCTTCTGTCATTTTTAGGCATTATACAAATCTCTGATGCACAGCAAGTAACTGCCTCGATCCAACGCATCTTAGTCTCTAGACTGACATTATATTTAGCACTTATGAGGAGGTCTCTGACAGCAGCCTTTCCCAGAGCAAATAGTCTTTTGATTTCTTGGCTGCTGGTGCCAAGAGTGTTTATCGTGGATCTGAACCAGCTTAGATTTTTAACAACATC